AGAAGACTGCAGAGCATTCTTCCCTGGCTGTTCTGGATCATTGCACATCTTTCCTGTACACTCTTCTCAATTTGTTTTTGTTTGTCCTTCTTTAGCTCGGCTGAGTATTTGTTATACAAAATGCGCCACCACTCTTTGGTGTCTTCAACCCAATCAATGGACCATGTTTCATCCACTTTACAAATTTCCGTATGGTATTTCTTATTAATCCAGTTTAATATTCTATTTATAGTATTTCTTTCTTTGTGTACTATTTTGACCCCTATGTTCTTCTTAGCTCTATTAATTAGATGGCTAATTTTGACTACTGTTTTATGTGTCTGTGACTTAATCACCTTTTTCTTCTTGTTGACCAGTGTATTGTAAATCTTTTTCTTTGGTAATGACTGGTTTGCCACCTCTATAATACTGCTTGATATTATCTTCCAAGCTAAATTTAAATCAACCTTCTCCTACACTGGTATGTTAGAAAGTAGTTGTGGGTCAATCTTCTCTCTAAGCTAAAGATGAAGTTTCTCTCTATATTCTTTCCAGTCATCTTTCATTGCTTTATCATATAAGAAAATTGTTCTAAACTGGCCTCTAACCTTTGTTGAGGATATGCTTTGTGATGCGATCAATTGTTCTATTTTGAGCTCTACTAGCACAATATTGTGATCGCTTTTAGTATAATGATTAATATCTTCTATATCAACTGATATAACATTGATGCCAAATTCTCGGATATCCAGATCTGGTCAATTCTCGTTGACATTGCTCCATTTGACCATGAGAATTTCCTTGTTGTTAGATTTATCACTCTATATGAGTCCTGGAAGTTTTGATTTAACAATTACTTGTGCAACCACAAAAGCTTGTGTTGCTGCCTTTTGCTCAGTGCCATTACTTTTTCTGACTTGTTGAGGTCTGGATCGATGATGCTATTGAAGTCACCCATAACCACTAGTTTGATCTTTGTATATATTTATTTCTCTATTACCTTTTTTTGGATTTCTTTTTTCAACTCTGCATTATTTGGAGGTAGATAAATTACAATAACCTTAATTATAAGTTGCCGTAGGAAGAGGTTAACCTCGAGCATATACTTATTGATTCAATTTAGATCGCCCAAGAACTTTTCCCAGTCTTTTCTGATTATTATTCCAATTCCTGAACCTTTCTTCTTACTCGGATCTGCATCACCCAAATACTCATATAATTGCTACCTTTTTTTAACATAAATTTTCTCTCTCTTGATCTAATATTAGTTTCCACCAAACCACATATTGCTATACCTTCTTCTTCTAACCACTCTGTCAATAGTGCTAACTTTTGTTTGTTATTTTTATGCCCGTTAATATTATAGCATGCTACCTTTAGATCACTATTAAAACCTCTTTTGATTTTTCCTGCCTGTAGAGACCAGTAATGTGGGTTATCTTTTCTAGAATCATAGTTGGTGAGCGCATCCACTTGCTCACTCTCTTGTGTTGAAATGCCTGTGGCAACAACTTTCAGGAATAGTTAGGGTTGTACTCCTCTTTCCTGTATTTTCGAAAGATTCTAGTCTTTCTAAGAATTCGAGGAGAAGTGTTTTTGTATCATAACTTGGGAAGTCTGAGATGGAGTTGTTGCTGGCTATCTTTTCTTTCCTTTTCTCTTCTCTTATACCCTTCTTCACTATTGACCTAATAGTTTCATGGTTTTGGTTACCTAGTATATTCTCTCCGGCTTTCTTGACCCAGACTTTGGGCTTCTTTTTTAACTTGTTGTCTGGGTCCAGACTTGTTTCCTACCTAAGGCTTGTATCATAGTATTTGATCTTGTTTCTCAATGCTTTATCTCTGTCCTCTTTTCATTTGAATTCCACCATGGCTTGGCTTCTTTGGTTCCCATTTCAGTTATTATAAATGTGTATTGCCATTGCCCTGGTTGACCGAAGTTGTCTGAGCAACAAAACCTCCTTGACCTTTCTGGGTAGATTTTGAAGCCTAGCTTGGAATTTTCTTCTGTTTTCGAGTTCTGCACCATTACTTTTTCCTAATGTGATTCTTGCTAGTTTGCTATTGTTTAAAGAAAGCATCCAAATTTTCTCCAATATTTTAGCTAGATACTCTGTTTTTATACTAAACTCTATTTCTGCTCTTGTTTTGTTATTTTTGCTATAGAGAACCCATATATTTTTGGGCTTGCTAATATTTCTGACTAATTTCATTATTCCCTCCTTAGAAATATTGTTGGGCAAATTCCATATTGTGCAGAAGCTTTCTACCTTGGCTGATTCACAATCGGGCTTGGTTTCCTCACGATTGCTAAGATATAGGTTCGTTTTCTCTTGTACTTGGTCGAACCATTTTTCAAGCTTTTTATATGGCTTTTTAGTAATATGCTGAGTAAGTGTTTCCTCTATTTTTTCCCTAATAAGAGGTTCTTTCACTAATTTAATAGCTTCTATTGATACACTATTGGCCTCTATCTCTGGCAATGCATTTGTTTTATCAATTCTGTTAATATCATGGTCCTCTATTTCTGTTAGTCTACCTTGCTGCTTTCTCTTTTGGATAGTACTTTGTAAACTATAATTATCCTCTTTTTCTTCTATAAAGCTCTCTGCAAATGAAGCAATTTGCTTTTTTAGCTCCTCATTTCCGTAGTCTGATGAGCCTGACTCTGAAAGTGTTAAAGCCAGACTTTTACAAAATTTGGTTTTTGAGTTATGCTTTATGCAATCTGGAACATGGTTACTTGCCGTCTTGTTTGGTTCGGCTATAGCTTGGCTATACTGTTGCCAGTCGTAAACTTCTAATGCAATTCTTATAATTCACACTATTTCTGGATATATGATACCCAGGTACTCAGCTATGTCTTTGTCTCTCTGCAATGTTAGAAGTTTTTGTTCTTTTAGCGTTTCCATGATTATACTCTCCTGTTTGGCAAATAGACCTTTGAACTCTTCTAGGGATTGCATGATCTTAAGATAATCATTGAATATCAGCTAGTTTGTCACGTGATTTGTGTCTAGCC